CTGCCTGCCTATCTATCTATCTATCTGTCTGTGTCTGTCTGTCTGTCTGCCTGCCTATCTATCTATCTATCTATCTATCTATCTATTACACAAAAATCAAATGACACAAATTGGAGCTTTAGTGATTAGACTGAAAGTGAAATAATTTAAGAAGTATACGAAATAGTCTTTAATTTAAGAGTGACAAGAAACCTGATAAAGTTTCACCATGTGGTGCTGCTGTAAGCAATTCATTGTGAGAAAATTTATTTTTATTTTTGGAGCAGGGCCTTTCAGAGGAAACTACCTGCACTGACCAGTTCACACAAAAAAAAAGGAATTTTGGAAACGTAAGTAGACAGTTCCTTATTTAGTCATTACTTACCATCTTGTTTAGTCACATTACCTTCATTTTAAGTCTTCTGTCTGTGAGATCCCAGAATGTTCTCTCCGAAGATGCAGGATTATGTGTTTGGTTTGCTTTCTTTGATTTGCAGTCTCAAAGGTAATACATTATTTTTTACATTTTAAAAACAAGAATGTAACTATAATTCTACACTGTAAAAATAACAAAAAAATACATGAGGTTCTTCCATTACCATACAGGTAGAGTCTGGCTAGAGAACTGGTCTAACATTAAGGAATTGCAAAGCTTTCCTCATGCGCCTTTTTATTTTTATAATGTACGAAAGAATTCAAATGAAAGCAGTAAATGTGAACCGGAAACATATCCACTAAAAACTACGATTACCTCCAGATTTAGTGTTTTTTAGGCTATCTTGTTACAACTTACGCTATCATATTATATGTTGTTCTGTTGTCATCCACAGGCCTATCTTGTACACCATGGACCATGAAAGTACAGGATCAGGTCAATGGCACATTGGGACAAAATGTGATTCTACCCTGCATCTTCACACACCCAAAACAAAATAGTTACACCGGTGACATCAATATTAAATGGATGCAGGGCAAAATACATGAACCCATTGTTCAGTGCACATTTTATAACAAGACAAAAGGACAAGACGGTAAATGTATTTATTCAACATCTTCAGAGCGACTCTTGCTTCAAGGTAACCACAGAAATGGAGACATTTCCTTAAGCATCAATAATTTACAGTTTACTGATGCCTCACAGTACACTTGTAGGGTGGAGCTGGATTATAATCAATTTAATAAACACACAACGCTTAATGTCAATGGTAAGAGTTACACAGCATTTGTATCATCACACAAATAAACAGTCACCCCCCAATATATACATAT